GCAAAGCAGCTCTGAGGGCAATGAGCTGCCCAGAGGAAGCAGAAAGGCAGCACTCAGGAAACACTGGGAAAAACATCAGAATTTCAAAACTGGTTACGGTTCAGCAAATTCTGTTTTCTCCCAAGTTTTACAAGATTGTCTGTGGCATTTATCACTGATATCTTAATTGGCATGTTATTTAACTGCTTAAAAGGCTGCTTTTGATAGTTCTTGCCCAATGAAAGCTGTTCTTCTGAGAAAATAAAAACTGTTGAGACTTTTAGGATCAACTTCTGCTTAAAACATGTGTACAGTTCCAATGTAGCTATTGCTTGTATCAATGAATGTAGTCAAAATAGATTTCTGAAAACCTATTTGGCAAAAAAATTCACCACAGATAAAGAATTTTGGTAAAGCAAATGACTTCTGACAACACTTTGCTTTTGAAAAAAGACAGATGATTATTAAATAAGAGGGAAAAAAAAGTCTGTTTATAGTGTCATCACTGTAGTCACCCAATAAGATGAGAGGAGGGTACCTCCCTGAATTTTTTGGGGAGATGTCTGATTCTCCTCCATGCCCTCAGGCAGCTCTGGCTTCCTTGTAGTTGCACTGGTGTTAAACCTGCCCTGAAAACAAAGTGGAAGTGTGGAATGGAGACCCCACAAGTAGACAGGTCATGCTTGTAACAGAGCATCATGATGTCTCTTTGCTTCTAGAAGGAGATCAGGTTGGAGAAGAGAGGAGAAGGGGGAGGAAGAGGAGGAGGTAGAGAAAATACACAGAGAAGAGTGACCTGACCTTGGGCAAGAAAGTTGCTTTGCAAAGGGAACACTACCTGTCTATTGGGTTTGGTGAAGGAGGTTTTGGGCAAAAACTGAGTCTTCACATGCAAAAATCTGAAGGCAGAGACTGCCCCAGTTCAGTGACGGAAAGCACAGTGACTTTCTGAAGTCAGAAGCTCATGTAGGAAAATAATTCAGACTGAAAATATGATAAAAAATGCTAGTGGTGAAGACACATAATCTTTGGAAGAACTTAGCAGGAGATGCCGCTGGTCTCCTTCATGGGAATCTTCAAAGCCAGCATTTTTGGAAAGAATGGGCTCCAATCAAAGCACAAAGCAGTCAGTGTGAAGTGACACATGTTTTGCAGGGGCCAGGCTGGAGGGCTGCAACTCTCGTTCCAGCTGTAAAAGTTGTTGCTGCTTCTAAAAGGCTCTGATTCCCTATGGATGTGCCTTCCAATGTCCCAGGATGACAGCTGTAGGTGCTTAGGGAGTGCTAGGAGAATGGACAGCAGGTGGTGATCCCTGTCCACCAGTAAATTCAAAATGCCATCTCCTGTAGTCACTGCAGGGGACAGGGTGCTGGGCTGGAGGGGTCATTGCACCGGGCTAGTGAGACTTTTGGTATATTCTTGCCTAAAAGAAAACACAGGAAAATAATAACAGTGCAAAAACCTCTCCTCAAAACCTGCTCTGAGAGCCAGGAGAGCACGTGAAGCTCTGTACATTGTTTGGATCCAAAGGATGCAGAAAACTGCCTGATGTCCCAGCCAGGTGGCAGGTCAGATTGGCCTGGTTCCTTCCTCAGAGAAATACAAAGCATGGAGCCAGGGGACATCCTGCATCAGCCAGCCTTGCCAGAAATCCTACCAGCACTCTGAATGAAACATGGGCAGGCTGGTGAGGGACCTGAATGGACACTCGTGAGACGCCCAAGCAGCATCTGCTCTCCTGTTTTTGGGATAAAGACTAGTGCTGGTAATGTGGTAGGTTAGGTTTCCCCTATGAGTGTTGGAGAGAGAAAGCAGCATGTAGGAAGGTGACTCCCAAAAGTGCCCAGTCAGAAAAACAAACAAATCTGGTTGAAACCCAAAATCTCATGTTTGGACAGAGCAACCTGTCTCCCAGGCTATCATCCTGCCAAGCCACGCAGTGCCTGGACACCTGAGATTTTCCAGGAGGATTCTCCTTTCACCTTGGCAGCTCAGACTGAAAAACTGGACAGCTATCGCTGCTGTGGTTGATTTTTGTGTCGGGCTGATCCTATTGCCATGCAAACCTGACGCAGCTGCAGCAGCAGCTCAGTGGTTAGAGCATTATAATCCCGTGCATGTTACAGTGATGCTGCTTGAGCTGCTAATTTGGGAAAATCTGGATCCTAATGGAGATTTATCTTCATGGACTTCTGCCACTTCCACTTGTCTGCTACAGAATTAACCATCTTGGAAGTAACAGCTGCAGTCACCAGAAATTTGCAACCAGCAGTGAAATGGGGTTCACCAAGCGCCCCTTGCAGGTGAACTCATTTCCCTTCTCTCTGGCTGCATCCATACAGCTAAATAATGACATTAAGGACCATCTCCATGGTGTGAGGCCAGGTGGGTCAGCAGACCTTGGATTCCCAAGCCTGGGTGAGATCACCATGAGCTCAAATTAATGGAGTTGTGCTGGTCCAGACCCTCTGTATGTGAAAGCAGAAGAAAGAACTGGATCCACACCCACATGCCAGATGATGCTGTTGCAAGAGAAGTTGCATGCACAGCCAGCTGCTGTGTCTTGGTGGGGGCAGGGTCCCTCCTCAAGCAGGTGCTAGAAGCCCTGTGTTGAAATGCAGCAAGCAGGTGCTGTGTGGGGGTGTCTGGACAAAATATGGGCAGTAAAATATTTTCCAGATGTGCCACCATGCATGTAAGCTCATGCACTGAGCACAAGTTACCTTCAGATGCACTGAGTACTCATTTTCATCTTTCCCCACAAATACTGGTGGCAGACAGATGTTCCTCAGAAGGTCACACATAGCAAGTATGATGGGCACAGCTGCACACAGGGATCTGGGCACTGCAAAGGGCCCTCACTCGTCCTTGAATGTGGTCTTCTTTTTGGAGAACAACAACCTTTTTTGTCTACCAGCCCAGAGGCACAAACACATTTTCAGGTTGAAGATGATTCTATGTGCCTGTGGGATCAGGGATACCTCTCCTGCTAACCCTGGAAGGTAGCTGGGTCTCAAAGTGGGTGGATCACAGAAGTCCCAGAGCCCTGAGGTTAGCAGGACTGCAGGGATGGTGGGGTCCATCTCTGCTGCCCATGGATATGGTGGTGCTCCCCAAGCCTAGGCATTTAGTCAATAGTCAAACATAAATTATCTCCAGGGATTTAGGTGGCAATAAGCAGTGTAAATAGCAAGGACCTTTAGCTCATTTATGGCTTTGATGGCACAATGCTTGCACTGGTAACCTGCAGATTGGAATTTCCTGGTATCAAGATTTGTGCAGCTACTAACTACAAATCAGGAAAAAAACAAATAACTTGCTGGAGGCTCACAGTTACTTTGGGAACAGAGAGAGAAAGAATACATTTAAGCAAATCGATTCACTCACTTGTCCTCAAGTCTGTCTGAAAATATTCTCAAAGTGTCACTCAGCACTGCAAAAATTATCTCTTGTTCTCATTTATAACCAGATTCTAGGAGCTGAGGGATACATATTCCTCCCATCCTTAATGTTTTTTTGGGGGTTGTGTAATCAGCTGTTTCAGCATTCACAATTTTCTCTTATTTATCTACTCAGATATTTTTCTCTTTTTTTTCCCTTTTTTTTTTTTCATGCACAGCCTCTCTGCAGTCTGGCAGAGGCAGGATTGCAGTATTGATTTAGGAAGAGGCAGTTGTGACAATACAGTCCCAGGCTAATTCCCGTGCTGTACGGGGGCTGCTCTGTCCGCAGCAGCAGCCTCACCCCAGCATGGGGCTCACTTTTAAAAAGAAGAAAAAAAAATGAAAGAAAAGCTACTTTCTTCTGTTCTGCTTTGAAGGGGAAAAGGATTACCAAGGCTAAATAAGCCATCTGAGTACTTAGCTAGCAAGCCTAAATAGTACCCTGATAGGAAGTTCTGGCAGAGAGCTAATTAAATTAACTCTCTTTGATTTATTAACAAGCAGAGCAACATATCACACAGGATTGTCCCATGAAATTAATGTGCTTTCTGACTCCCTTAGCTGCTTCAGCTCAGTCACCTCCCAGAAAACCCGGTTACGGGGACTCAAGCTTAATGAGACTCAATGGCTCGAGAAGGATCCCTGCCCACCAAGAGAGATACGCACTGCTAATAATACCTAAAAGCATGTTTATTTTCGTTGCACTTCCCTAATTCCTTTTTAATGCCTAGGACCATCTAATGGCTAATTCGTAATTTCCTGCTCACTGATATGCAGATGAATGACAAGGAAAAGCCTTCTGCATGTTTAATTATTCTGTTGATTTAAAAGCCACTTTTCCCTCAGTGCAAGTTTCTCTGTGTGTGTGTGCTCTCATGCATCATATATTTCATTATTTTTAGAAGCATGCTATGTGCCTTTTTATGCTTCCATAGTTCCAGCATCCAGTAATTACCATGTTTTGTGTCCAACAGACCTGATCCACCAGCAAGTGTAAATCAGGAAAACATTGCTGTCTCTAAATGGAGTTATTCCAAGTTACACCAGACCTGAGACCTGACCTCTCCTATTTTCAATGATGGAGAAAATGTTATTTGTGTGCTGGGACTCTTGTGAAATAGCAGGATATAAAATTTAGAAAACTTCAGAGCAGTGAAAATCCAAATTGAAGCCTGTGAATGCACAGACAGTAAGAATCTATTTATGTAGCAAGCTCTACTTCTGCTTAACCCCTGCAAGGAGCTGTAACTCTCTTTGCATATTTGATTTTTCTCCCTCAGTAAAACATAGTCGGCTTAACCTATTTTTGCTACTTTCCAACAGTTTCACTGGGGGGGCTCTTCCCTACGCCTTGCATTTCGTTTTGCTATCTGAGCGCTCCTTTGTTAAATTAAGGCAATTAATAAATGGAGATGTTAAGCAATCAATTTTGCCTGCATATCTCCACAGCCTTACGTATGACTGGCTGTAATCACAAGATAAATGCAATGTGCTGATGTATGGTAATGTTCAATAATACATTCTCCACCAGGCTCAATTCATCAGGGAGTTTCTGGAGGGGAGGCATTTGTTATTGGCTGTCTCCGGACCTCAAGGATAACATTCCTGTCCTTTCCATTGGCCGCCCCGCTGCTGCAAGCCTCTTCCCGTCTTATTTTGATGATGAATATGAAGGCATGCTAAGCTGTGCCGGAGAGCAGCTCTCGCCGACTGCACTCCCGCCCCGGGCTCAAGGACTCCAGAGCTCCCCGGCTGCTTCCTCTGCCCACTGCCAGCAGCAGCAGCAGCAGCAGCACAGCAGCAGCAGCAGCAACGCCAAAAGTTGTGATGCTTTTCTTCACCCAGTGCTTTGGGGCTGTGTTAGATCTTATTCACCTGCGGTTTCAGCACTACAAGGCAAAGAGGGTTTTCTCAGCTGCCGGGCAACTTGTCTGCGTCGTCAACCCAACACACAGCCTCAAGGTGAGTTAAAAATATATTTTCTCTTTTAACATCTCCTCGTTGTCCCCACCACCGCCACCCGTGATTCTCCACAGGGAATGAAATTATGCTCTGGCACCAAGGGGAGAGTGCTGTTAACACATTGCAGCCCTGGCAGAGAGGATGTTTGCATTGTCTGAATGCATGATTCTCTTTGGAGCAAAGGAGAAGCATCCCACTGCTCCGAGCGACCGTGGGAAGTCGCCGCTCCCCTCCCCAAAGTTTCCTCATCCATTTCGCCCACACGATGAGCGTGCATGTTGCAAGCGTTTAGTAAAAATTATTGGAAAAGTTAGTGGGATGAATAAAGATCCCTTTCTAGTCGGAGGATGCTGTGGTCTCCCAGGCGGACACCCCAGCGCAGAGGGATGCTGCCAGGCAGAGGAGGACAGGAGGAGGAGGGTGGCAGTAGAGGGATCTCCTCTGCCGTCCTTTGCTCTTTCAGGGGAAAAGCGGCTGTTTCTGTCTCCTGGGGGACTTGGAGGCATTCCTCTGGCGCGGAAACTGTCCTTAAGCTGTCTGCAAGGTGAATCTATTTTAGGAAGGAGAACACATTTGCTTCAATGCAAAACTATTTATAGTCCCCATAAAAAACATTTATTTTACTTGCACTGCTCTCAGTTTTCACTGACAAAGTGTCAACAGCTCCATCTACACCAGAGCCTTCATGTTTGTAGCAGAGAAGGAGCAGCAGGGGGAGAAAGCAATCAGGAGGCTTTAACTGCTTTATCGCACTAGTGAATGACCAACTTTAATGAAGTGGCTTCTGTTTTGTGAGAAGTCCTCGCTGACCTGACTCGTGAGGCAGCTCCGCTATCCTGGTGCAAGCTTAGAAATTAATTTAATTCAGGACAACTTACTTTTGGGTCTGCAAGGGTCCCTGTGAGATACTTGGAGGCGTTGCAGGAAGCATCTTTTCCGAGCTCCTGGTCCATTGATAAGGTAAATCCCTCTTCAGAATAGCATCAGCTCACAAAAAAAAAAAAAAAAAAAAAAAAAAAAAAAAAAAAAAAAAAAAAGGAGGCACGTTTCCCACAGTCATCTTTCCCATCTCGGGCTGTGCTTAGGCAGAAGGAGATTGTTTCTAGCAGGGTGCCGGCTCCGGGAGGATGTTCCCGCAAGGCAGTGCTCTGGGGCAGGCACTCCCCGGGGCTGAAGCGCTCGGGTGCAGGCTCGCCTCTCCCGGCACCGCGCTCCTCGCAGAAGTTAAAAACACACAGCCCTGTCATTATCTGAAAGCGTCTGGTTGTCTGAATGGGTGAAAGAAATAGCTGCATTCCTAAGTGCACGGGGAGATTTTGTCAGTGAATTCTTCCGTGCTCAACCCTTTTGTGTAACTGTCTCCTGCTACTTTCATCTATAATTTCAATTTAAAAAAAAAAAAAGAAAAGAAAACAGGCTGTCAACACACAACAGGACCCAACACAATTTCAGTGCCAGTGGAACTGTCTGATAGGTGCCATAAGCACACAGGGGGGTGACTATTGCTCCACTGTTACCTAAGACTGGACCCAAGTTTATCATTCCAGGTCCTGCTGAGTTGCAGGTTTGCTATGGTAGGAGCTGCAGCTGTGTTAAACATAGAGGGCACTTCATTTTACTAAAATCCCCCATGGCCAAGCTCTTCCCTGCTCAGATCGAAAGCCGTGCAGAACGATGAACAATCTCAGTCCTGCTGTGGCAGCATTTGAATGCAGGCACTGGAAGCAAATTCTCTTGGAAATAAACAGGACCCTCTAGGAAAAGGTCTGGTGTGTCAGTAAAGCCCCAGTAAGACTTGTCTTGACCAGGGTGGGAATTGCTCCCCTGATAAGGCTGCATTGGGAACCCAAAGGCACAGATGTCTCCACAGGAGCCTGTTGAGACACTGTTCAGATGAACAAGCTGACGAGAAACCCTCTGCTCTGATAAACCCCTCTGACTGTGAAATGTGCTGTGCAAGTGCTCCAGGTCACAACCAGCCACATAAATATGGTGAGCTTTAGCCCTGATGTGCTCCCCATGTGTTCAGCTTCCCTCCAGCTGCGTAAGGAATGCATCACCACTTTGTGGCAGCATCCAGAGGAGATGTGGGGATCAGGTCCCTTTGTGCCCAGCATGACAAAATCAGTTGATCACTCACAGCAGCCTGTGGGCCAGCTGGAAGCTGCTGGCTCCAGGCAAGCAAGGCACCTTGTCCAAAACCTGATGTTAGAGTGAAGCCAGGTGAACCTGCTTCTCAGGGTGCCCATTTCTCCCCCAGGGATGCACAGGGAGACTGTTGTTGCTCTCAAAAGACATCTAAGGGACCATGAAATATGAAAGGGCCAAACTTATCCCTTTGTGGTGGTTTACAGTATTATGACTACTTTGATGTTTCTTAGTCTATTATTTCTAGCTGGGTCTTTTCAACTGTAACATTTTGTTGACAGCCCCCAAATCTATCTTAACAATTGACAAGTGGAGTGAAAACTGTATTAAGGTTTGCGGTCGATGAATACAAACCTGCTAGGAAACAAGGGCTGGGAGAAATGTCATTTCTCTCCCTTTTCTTCAAGGCTTAAATGATTGTGCTTACTCCACAATCGTAAGCCCTTTGCAAAGGGATTACTTTATTCTGTATCTCCCCAGTGCTGGTGCATGGGGACTCCTGGCTGATTGGTGCAAATGATAAATGACAGGCATCACACTCTGGTGTGATTATGCACATTGACATCCTTCACACAGGCCAGGTCTTCAATCAGTGCCAACACACATAACTTCATTAAAGTCAATTGCTGCAGGACCTCCATTTTCACCCCTTCCACTCAAGGGAGTGCTCGGGGATGCAGTGGGACTCAGCCCACACAGGAGGATCAGTGGCTGGTGTCACGTATGTGTCAGAGATGTGGCATCATGGAAAGCACTCAGCGAGCAGCAGAGGAGACCTGGTGCCCTCCAGGGAAGGCTGGGACAGTTTCTGGTGTCATAGACCTGCAGCCAGACCAAAGGGGCACTCCTGTGAAGTTATGACAGAATACTGTCATCATCATCACAGCCTGGCCTCTGACAATGACCAGAGCCTGTCACTTACTGCTTCTTTTAGAAGAGATTCAGAGGTTGCTAGAGAAGCAAATACTTAGAGAGAAACCTATGTATTTCTTCCCGCTGAAAGGCTCATTAATTGGAAAGGCTGATGAACATTTTTGTGTTTCTTAAAGGGCAAGATGGTAAAAGTGTCAGCACAGACACCTCTATTGATGTGCTGCTATTTTCCCTGCACTCAACAGGCTGACATAGGTGACTCTAAGAAAGAAAGATAATTTTGCAACTGTCCCACTCTGTTTTGTCCATTTGTCAGGAGTATGAATGGGAGGGGGTGTTTGTTTCGGAGCCTTTGTCCTTTTACCACTTTCTGTTCTCTGTCCTCCTACAAAGCTTCCCCAGACATAGCAGTGTCTCACAGCACAGTGCTTTGCTGGGATCAAAATTCACTTGCCAAGCAGAGAAAACCACTTACTTACCACACTTCTACAGGTCACCTCCATCCTCAATCATATTATATCCATTACTTTGTAACCTGTCTTCTTTCAAGCATGTGGTCAACCTGACATCTTCCCTTGGAGAGGCACAGCTGGGCAACAGAGCTCTCCAGCCAAGAGGCTGCTCCCTCCAAAGCCGTAGCAGTAAAGGAGCAACACTTACACTGCTGGCTGCAGGTCCCAGCATGCAGGGACAGTTTGAAGGTCCTCCATTTGAGTGGAAGAATGATCAAGGTTTTCTGATCCTGCAGAGGTGATGCTCAGTGAATTCCTGTCAGTTTGCCCCCGTCAATAACAATTATCCCCAGAACTGCAAACTGGAAAGAAGGTGAAGTTGGGGGAGTATCCTCACTCCTTAGCATCAGTCCCTGTCCTGATAGCCAGCCTCACATGGCAGGGGACAGCAGAGCAAACACATTCCAGATGGGTGCTGATGCTTCATGAGATGCTGCATATGGCTGAGTAAAAAAGACCTTCTTCATTCAAGGAGTTACTAGCGTTTTACACACAATTTTTAATTATTTGGGGAGTGTGAAAATTGTTCTTTTAAACAATAAAAAAGTGTGGTTTTGGTGTAAAAAGCACCAATCTCCACTTCTGTGGGACTTCAAGGAACTTGTTGACTTACAAAAAAAATATCCAAACAAGGTCATAAAATAGTTCAATCTTAATATTCTAAAAGGGTTGTAATAAGGTTTATGGGTCCAAGCTGTCTTTCAGGTAGTTTTTAAAGTAACAAACAAATCTGCTCTGACATAGGAAAGGGATTTGAATCCTGTTATAACAATTTGGCTCTGCCAGTGGCCAGTCAAATAGCATTGTAATCCACTTTATCCCCAGGAGGATTAAAGTGCTAGGGTGCATTGCACCCTCATGAGATCTATTTATTTGGTACAAGGGAGGAGAGTGACTGTGAACCTGCTGCTAACAATGCCTGCATGCCACTGTGTCAGCCCAGACAACCTCAAATCTCCCATGCAGGGCTGTGATTTGGGGACAAAGTGGCATTTGGCCCCAGTGTCCAGCAGGATTGAGACAGCTGCGGTGAGGGGATCTGTAAAATGCTCTGCTACCTGCAAACCTGGGCTCCTGGCAAGGTGCCTGTTTCCCAGCCCAGCTGTGGGCTAGGGCTGTGTGAGCACTGGGCACCTCAGATTTTAAATCCTTTTGTAGGGATGTGGATAGCAGCAGGCAGGGCTTCAGCAGCCCTGCCTCTGTTTGAAGGAATTCCAGTTGACCCTGATCACCCCAGGAGGCTCGGTCTGCCCTGAGATGTGACTTTAAGGGTGCCCTGCAGACAGGAGGCACGGCAAGCTCAGGCAGGCAGCTCTCCCGGGGGCTCTCCATTCACTGCAGCTTGCTGGCCCCAGAACCCTCTCTCCTGAAGCCATTAACCTTTGGCCTGCAGATCCATCCAGCCGCGCTGCCGTGGGCTGCGGCAAAGGGCAGCGCGGGATGCGCTCCAAGCGCGCTGCAAAGCGG